AGAAAGCACATCAGAATAATGAGCTATTTTTAGTGATGTTTCCTGTTTGTTGTGCTGGTAACTAGAGCCTATGGTACAATGTATTTTGGAGCATGATGATGGTGTGTGATATGCATCAAATATTTATTGGGACACAAGTTCTAGGAATATTTATGAGTTGCGTAGAATTCATTATTTCTGAGAAAGTTATTAATAAAATGTTGACTATTTAATCTAATCATGGATGTACAAATAGTAGCAGTTTTATTCAAATAGTCTTAGTTATTATTTTAGAGATTTATTTTATTTTAATTGACAGACAATATTGGGGATTTTCTGTGAGTTATAACATGATGTGTCAATATATGTACATTTGTTCTTTATATTCACTGACATGTTATTATTTATTCATTCAATCATTCATTCTTTCTGGTTGTTTGAGGAGAAAGGACATCTTCCAATATTTATTGTTGACTTGAATAAGTAAGAAAGATAATTATTTGTTCCAAAGCATATTTAAGTATTTAAGTCATACAAATGAATATTCATTCATTAATACTTTGAAGACAGGCCAAGGGATTTACTTTGATGGCATGTTACCTGAAATCAAAGTCTTTCCTGAATGTGTCTTGTTATTATTTAACATTTAATGAGAAATCCTACTCATGTCAAATATAGATATTAGATTATACAAAGTATAATTATATTTTCCTTTTAGTGTTTCCTAGTGGTCTAGTCATGCCTTATTCCATAACAACACTTAGTAACTTATAAATATCAAATATTTCTAAAGTATTACTAGCTTTCATTAATTTCCTTCATACTCACAATTACATCTTGCTAGATGCTTATAGTTATATGATTATAAAAATTAATACACATGAGATAAATCATTTTGCAGGAAGTCTGGATGAATTGTGAGCATACCAAACATTATGGAGGTTAGGAATATTCAGTCATGCTGGAGAGAAAACTATGGGGTTTATGGTCAAGGGCAACATGTAACATGATGCACAGAGAGAAAGAGAAACACTGGCTGCCCTGAAACACCAGGTCAGCAAATGTAAGTGAAGAAATTCTACCGCATTTCACTTCAAAGTACTCACTATAGTGGGTCTCCGATTGAACCTACTGTTTTCAATGAATTCTATTTCTTCAATTAACCAGCCTTCTGGGGGGAAGGAGTTCTGTTGTTGCATTGCATAGCTCAAGCATAATGCTAAAGTGATGCTATGGTTTTTCACTTTTACATGTACCTTTGGTTGACTATCTTCTCTAATGTGAGTGTGAGTCTCTGCCTCTTAGTAGAAACCAACTTGAAGTTATTTTCATCATTCAAATAGTTTTCTCAGGTTATTTGCAGCAATTTTATCTGGCATGTTTGTTCACATTTTTCTTCAGTTTCAACCTCTTGTTCCCTATCATGGTTTTCAATCACATGACTTGAGAAATTAATAATCTGGGTCTTAAATTAT